TGGGCTGTGCTGGGTTGACAAGCAGGCAACATACCTGCCTGTTAGCTTGGATTTCCGGGAACGGATGTTTGCGATTACAGGTGTGGGCCCCCCGTGGCCAGCGACCTCTACTAGTTTATATATCCAAACACATTGTTCCTCCTTGTTCTCACACTAGCGACAGACCCATAGAGAGCACGTTCTAAGCTGTAGTGTCAGAAAAACGGAGATGCGTGAGAACCCAGGGGCAATTTTATGAGGCAGAGTTCAGTTACGGTTGAGCAGCTTACGAGACACAAGAGAAATTTCAGGTAATTGTGAAGTAGGAGGAATTCTATACAGCAGAAGTTATTTATCCAGAAATTGAGGTGTGTCTAACACAGCTCAGGATCCTGAGTAGAGAATGAAGCAGGTGTAAAAGATAGGCTTTAGGGTGTGTGTGTGTGTGTGTGTGTGTGTGTGTGTGTGTGTGTGTGTGATATTATACTGGTACATGCACGTGTACATGTGTATGCATGTGGGCACACCTGAGGAGGCAGAAAATAAAACAGGTGTAAGATAGGCTTTAGGGTGTGTGTGTGTGTGTGTGTGTGTGATATTATACTGGTACACACACATGTACACATATATGCATACGCGAGGAATAAGTCAGGTGTTCTGCTCGATTACACTCTTGAGACCTTATTTCCTTGAGACAATCTTTCTCTGAACCTGGAGCTCGGCTCACGACCTGCCAGCCCCACCCCCACTCCTGGTTCCTCCCACACAGCAGTGAGGATAAACGCGGGCTTGATGCCACTTCAAGCTTTTGGCACTGGCACTGGAATTCCAACTGAAGTCCTCAAGGTTGCACAGAAGGCGCTCTTACCCCGGGAGCCGCCTCCCCAGCCCCAGATACAGTTTTACAGTCTGTTTGTCCTGGGAATCTTTCTGTGTGTACACAGCACAGGACGAAAGGTGTTTCAAAACCAGGCCTGGTGCCGGCTGGTCCTGACCTCTTTCTTAGAGGTTGGGAAAGTAAATTCAAGGTCAGTCTGGGTCTCAAGGTAAGATGCTCTCTCAAAAGAGGTGTGGAAGCTGGGCTGTGGTGGTGCAAGCATTTAATCCCAGCACTCCAGTGGCAGAGGCAGGTCAATCTCTGAGAGTTCAAAGCCAGCCTGGTAGAGTTTCAGGACAGCCAGGGTTACAGAGAAACCCTGTTTCGAAAAAAGAAACAAACAAGAGGTCTGGAGCCAGTAAGATGGGTCTTCTCAACCATAATGACCTGATTTCAATTCTTAGAACGCATTGTGGATGGAGAGAACAGACCTTCATAAATTGTTCTCTAAATGTGTGCGGTGCACATGTATCCTCCTACACATGCACAAACACACAAAGGGGGGGGGGGTCAGGCTACACAGAGAAACCCCGCCCCAAAAAGCCCTGTAGTAATACTGATAATGATAGATAATAATAAATTTACTGAGTTCAGTGACCAGTGGTGTTAAACTGGCTTTTTCAGCCAGTGAAGCTGGCTGGTATTGTGTGAATGTATGTTTACATTTTCTAGTCCTGACAATGCCTTGTGTTTAGAAAAAAGACCGTTTCAAAGTATCAAATATATAAGCTGGAGAGATGGCTCAGTGGTTAAGAACATTGGCTACTCTTTCAGAGGCCCCAAGTTCAATTCCTAGCACCTACATGATGGCTCACAACTGTCTATAACTAGAGTTCCAGGGGCCCTAATGCCCCCCCTTTCTGGGCCTCTGAGGGTGCCAGGCATGCACAGAGTACATACATGCAGACAAACATTCAAAACATTCCTGAAACTCACTCTGTAAACCAGTCTGGCCTCAAACTCAACAGAGATCCATCTACTTATGCCTCTGAAGTGCTGGGATTAAAGGCATATGCCACTTCACCCAGCTATAAAATAACAGAAATGTTTTAAAATGCATTTATCTATGTGTCTGCTTGTTTATTTGGTTATTTATTTTTGAGACAGGGTTTCTCTGTAGCTTTGGAGTCTGTACTGGAACTTGCTCTGTACCCACCTGGCAGCAGCCACAACCACCCATAACTGTAAGCTCCAATTCCATGGGATAAGTTTTCCTCTGATGTGCAGATGTGCATGCAGATAAAAACACCTATATACATAAACTATATAAATAAATGAATCTTAAAATATACTACTGAACAAACATGGGCATGCAGGCAGAGTTACTAACATGACAGAGCATAGGAACCAAAGTATGGCCCCTAAAAGTAAGAGCTGAAGAGGAAGGATGATGTAGCAGTGTGGCTTGTGGGATTTGGAAGTAAATTCTCCAACTGTGTTAAATCAAGCTGGGGAAGTGTTTCAGGGCTGAGGGGGGCCTGTCAAAGGACTCAGAGTGGAGAACAGACGTTGCGGAGGAAGAGGTGGTAAAAAGAATCCCCTGGAGTCACTGACAAAGTTGGTTCTTGGTGTTTGCTTGTTTGAAACAGGATTTTCCTGCAAAACCCAGGCTGATCTCAAACTCGGGCTCTTCTGGCCTCCGTCTGAAGGGTTTCAGGTAGGCCCCACCACACCTTGGTCTACCTTGGCTGTTCATTCATACATTACAGACTATACTAGAATTTTCTCAGCTTGGGGCCTTGGCCTGCCAGTCAAGGGGTGTTGATTCACACCCCACCACTACAGCAGGATTTCCCAGGGAAGACTGATTCTAGATGGAAGGAATCTGCCTCACCTCCAAGTGATACCTGTACTAGGAAGTCTTCTGGAAGTGAAGGGGTAGCCTGAGTCTAACTTCCCCTCACCGACTTTATCCTCAGTAAGTACTGACCAAAACAAACCACTACTTCATTGCTATTTTCAGAATTCAATCTTTTTTTGGGGTGAAGTGACTTATCTGCCTCCTAGATAGTCCTCCATTCTGGACCAGTTTGACTCAGTGACTCAGTATTTCACAATGCACTTTTGCTACTTACATTGAACTGAAGAGATGGCTCAGTGGTTAAGAACATTTGCTCTTCCAGAGAACCTGGGTTGATTTCCAGCACCCACAAGGTGACTGACAACCATCCCTAACTCTAGTTCCAGGGGATCTGAAACCCTCTTCTGACCTTCTCAGAGAGCAGGCATACATGTGGTGTACATACACACTTCCAACAAAAACATTTATAGACATATTTTTTTTAAAAAAAAAAAAATTAAAACAAAGCTATATCTTGGCCAGCAAGATGACTCAGTGAGTAAAAGTGCTTGCTTGCCAAGCCTGGTGAACTGCATTTGATTTCTGGTACCCACATGGTGGAAGCAGAGCATTGACTCCTGAAAGCTGTCCTTTGACCAAGACACTTTGTACCCTGGCATGACACACACACACACACAGACACACGATGTAAACTTTTAGTAAATAAAACCAGTACTCTCCATACCCATTCACCTCCGATGTCTTTCATGAAATGAGATAAATCACCAACATTAAAAGAAGCACCTGGGGCTGGAGAGATGGCTCAGTGGTTAAGAGCATTGCTTGTTCTTCCAAAGGTCCTGAGTTCAATTCCCAGCAACCATATGGTGGCTCACAACCATCTGTAATGAGGTCTGGTGCCCTCTTCTGGCCTTCAGACATACACAGAATATTGTATACATAATAAATAAATAAATATTTAAAATAAAAAAAGAAGCACCTGGATCCTGGATATTAATTTCCAAGATTTTTTCTTTTTTCTTTTGGTTTTTCGAGACAGGGTTTCTCTATAGTTTTGAGGGCCTGTCCTGGAACTAGCTCTTGTAGACCAGGCTGGCCTCAAACTCACAGAGATCTGCCTGCCTCTGCCTCCTGAGTGCTGGGATTAAAGACATGTGCCACCACCACCCAGCAAGATATTTTGATTAATACTTGATTAATATTTGATTCCCCCTCCTACTACGGCAGGAAGCAAGGGGAAGTACACACTGAAGTGGTGGCTTTGAATCTTAAATGTCTATTGTCCATGGTGGGAGGGGACAAAAAGCAGGGTAACTTTTTATTTTGTGATGTGTTAGCCTAAATGTTTTGTTTTGTGAGGCAAGGTCTTGAGGTTATCCTGCAACTGCCCCTAGTGCTGGGATTATAGATTGGCATGCAACACCACTCCTTGAAAGCCTAGAAATAGAGTAACAAGAGCTATGTGTTGTGTGGCAAATGCTTTAAACCCAGCATTTGAGAGGCAGAGGCAGGTAGATCTCTAAATTCAAGGCCAGGTTGATCTACAGAGTGAGTTCTAGAACAGCCAGAGCTACACAGAGACCCTGCCCAGAAAGAAAGAGACAGAGACACAGAAAGAAGGGGCAAGAACAAGGCAACAGGGCAGGGGTCAAGCAGGAAGATGTGCTAGACAAAGCACACTGTAAGGGCTTTTTGAAAAACACTTGGCAGGAAAGTCAAGAAATTCACCTCTACCAAAGAACCCCCAGCCACGCCGTAGATGAAGCCCCAGGCCCCATCTGATAGTTACCAGCTCAGGATTGACCCCACTTTCTCCAGTAGGTGCTTCCAATAGACACTGTCACTGACTAGGGCCTGGGTCTTCCAGCAGAAGCAGCAGGCGGGACTAGAGAATTACTCTTGTATACGTAGACCAAGTATTTGAAAATAAGCTTGTGCATACTTTCTCCAAGAAGATTTGCTGAATCTCAATTCATACTCCAAACTGAGACAGGTGCTTAATCCTCTGTCCTTAACCCCAGGCTAACAGTCCACAGCTACACTCCTCCCAACACAATGATTTGATGTAGTATCTAGCTAGGGGTCGCTTCACCTCTGTAACTTTGCCAGCCTGTCAAAACCTCGGAACTAAAGTCTTCGAAAGCTTCTCAATGCTTCAGATAAAACAAGGTTCCGGAAGAAATCAAAGACGCTGACATGCGGTAAAGTGCAGAAGAGGTCTGGGTATGAACTCCTTGAGAACAGGGATTGTCTGCATGGTCAGTGTCTAGCACAAAACCTGAATCTTCATGGTTCTTACTGGGGCTCCGGTGGCGCAGTTGGTTAGCGTGCAGTACTTATACATAGACTGGACTTATAAATGTTTATTTAATGAATGGCTAGAGAAAAGATAGCTACCATCAAGTCAGCCTGAGGAGTAATTTCATTGCAATAACTTGCAGGTGTCTCACCCCATCTGAAATGATCTAGACCAGGCTGGGAGAGATCTCATCCTCACGAGTACCACAGCAGCTAGCAATGACAGCAATTGGAAGACCAGGAAAACAGCCAAGCTCATGTAACCCACCTGCCAGAATGTTGAAAGTAAACAGGCTCTGTCCCAAGAGGACATCTGACTTTGGAAGCACGAAGCCCACATGAACTTTTATGCTATAGTTGTGACAGCAAAGGAATGAACCTGAGTGAGACTGTCCCTAGACTCCAAGGCTCCTCCTGGGTCCTGAATGGGTTCTCTCATCTTTGGGAGAGAGAAATGACCTACAGAGTACAACAGGAGTGACATGTGGCTTTCTAGGTTCAAGTAATAGTTTCAGACTTAGCCTGAAACCTTTAGGGCTGGCAAGATGGCTCAGTGGATGAGGTTGCTTGCCACCATGCCTGGCAACCTGAGTTCAATCCCCAGGCACACACAGTGGAAGGAGAGAACTGGCTCCTGTAGGTTGTTCTCTGACCTCCACAGACACCAGAGCAAGCTCTCCACTACACACACACTCTCTCGGATAAATAAGTGTAATAAAAATTCTTATGTATTAACAGAAAACCTATGGAAGCCAGAAATAAATTCCAGTTTCTTCACTAAAAATGTATAAAGGACCAAAAGCTTGTTCAAAACGGATTTTTTTGAGACAGCATTTTGTGTATTCCAGGTTAGTCTTGAACTTGCTACAGGGCTGAGAATGACCTTGAATTTCTGAGCCTTCTATCTCGTCTCTACTCCCCAAGGATCAAAGGCATGTGCCCCCATGCCTACTTTATTCATGGTGGAGACTGAAGCCAGAGTTGCATGTGTGCTAGGTGAGCACTTTACCCACCGAGCTCTGTCCCCAGCCCAATTAAATATTCTGAAAAGTCCAGTTTGAAGCTAAAATGCATCTGAATAGAGTTCAGAAACCCCACTCTTAGGGTCTTCAGAGACCTGAGGGTTTTCTGGCTATATATGGCCATCGAAGAGATGGGAGGACACAGTTCTCAGTTGCTTTATAGTTTCCAAAACCTGCAGGTAGGAAGACAGGTTTAGGCAGGCATTTTCCTTTTTTTTTAATAGAAACTAAGGTCAAAATTTTACTTTTAATAATAATACTACTAATAATAAATGCTCCAACTCCTAAACTGTGTGCTTTTCTAGCCTATTTAAGTCATCTGTAGGGTGTCTATATTTTCCCTAGCACAGTGAACAATATAATTAATTAAAGAAATCAGAAACGGGTAATTAAAGAATTCAAACTGTTCCCTCTTCCCAAACACTGAAGAGGGTCAAAGTGAAGGGACCGCAGCATGGAAGGTGACCCAGGTCTAAACGGACAAACAGCCCCCACCCCCAGACACTACTGTCACAGAAAACATTTCTTTCCCAGGGACTTCAGCTCACTCAGGAGACGTCTAGTCCATGCCTCAGGAAAGGCTGGAGGTGTTTCCAGTCTTCCCTGCCAAGCCTAAGTCTTTTTATGAGCTCAGTATCTCCCAGACGCATCTGTGGCATAAACAGAAGAAGTGACTCTCAAAAGCAATGAAGGCAGGCAGGCACCTGTCACTGCTCTCACATCAGCCAAAAAGCTGCAGAACGTGGGATCCGGGAGACTGAAGGATGAAGAGAAGGGGAAGCACCAAGTGAGTGACTGCTTTTGGTTCCAAAGCCAAAATAGGTATACACACACCACCACCACCCCACCCCACACATACCACACCACACCACACACACACACCACACACACTTGCATGCAGGGCTCCCGAAAATAGCAGCTGGTCTGCATGAGGAACTCTTCCATTCCTGGAGTCAAGAAAGAAAAATGATGGCCTTGGAGCCCCATCTCATGACAGCCACAGTCCAAGGTCTAGAGCAATTTATGCCACATCACAGTCTGCAAAGGAATGGACTAATAATCCTCGGTGAAGAGGGTGAGGGCTTTGACAAGACTGGGGGCAAGGTGAGCTATCCCAAAAGCACAGCTGTGACAATCACTGTTTGCTGTGTGCCATTCTGCATATCACTGGCCTCTTCTCAAAATCGTACCCATCCCTCAAAGAGCTCGAGGGGGCATCAGATGCACCTCTGGAAGATCATTCCTTGCCCCCTCCTTGCCAAAGAACTTCCCCAAGTAAGCTGCTGATGGCATGCTACTTCCCACTCTAGGCAGAGTTCAACTTCCTTTTGTTTGAGCGTTTTGCACTGGCCTCTGAGGCCATATCCAGGATAGGCAGAGCTGGCCGTCTTCCAGTGTCAGGTCTGTGCTCCAGAGTTTGGTCAACACATCTTTACAAGAGTGGTCAACACATCTTTACAAGAGTGAACCCATGCATGTGTATACAGACAGACTATTCTGGAAAGGGTTCCTGGTTATTTTGACACCTCCCCTAAAAGCAATACCTTCCTTGGGGTAAGACGATTAGGACACCGGATGACCTGTTCCTAACTTCAGGAAAGGTAGCTTGTTCTGTCCATTTGTCAGTGAGGGGGTAGAAGGAACCCAACATTGTCAGTTACAACGAGATTTTTGTAGTTTGTTTTTTTTTTTTAAAAAAAAAAGGTTCTATGTGGAAATGAATGGGACAATGATAAAAATAAACATAATTAAAATTTCAAACCAAAACAAAGTTCTTGACCCCATCCCCAATTAGTCCTCCAAGACCACAATCTCCACATTGTGGACTTGATGCTGGTGTTCTTCCATCTCAGCCACCACTTTCTCCTCAGTCCTCAGCTCTGTCTCCAAGATGACTGCTTTGCCCTCATTGTCTTCAGCCTCAGGATCTGGGGCTGGGTCAATTTCAATGATGGTCTGCCCATCCTCTGAGGAGCTTTCAACTGCCTGGATTGCTGAAGTCAGGCCAGACTCCATGGCCACCAGCTCCACAGGGCTCACCATCGTGGCCATATTGCCCAGGGTACTGCCATCCTGCATAGTGGTAGAGCTTAGCAGTGCCAAGCTCGATGAAGGGTGGATGGTCACTGTGTCTGATGAGCTGTTCTTGGCAGAGGAAACCACTGTGGCATAGCGGAAGAGCTGCGGGCCAGAAGGCAGCGTGTGGACAGTCACAGGACTGGAGCCCTGGCTCAGAGTGGCCACTGGAATATTGCCCATGGAGAAGGACTGCCCCACGGGGGTGATGGTGATGGGTGAGATAACAGTGAACTGAGGCTGCTGCACAGGAGAAGGGCTCAGGACGGTGGTGGAGGCTGGCCGCTGGAGCCGGGGTCTTTTTGGAGGCTTTGGGGTGCTCACAGGCATCAGTACCACATTTTGAACCGTCTGAGATTTCAGTCTAGGATCTTGGGCTTGCTTTTTTTGCTCTTCCAACTGCCGTTCCAAGTCTATGAGGGGAAAAAACAAAACAACATCCAAACAGCTAGACTTAGTGGGAAAAAATGTCATCTAGGGAACATTAACCAAGGGGTCGGAAGACACAGGATCCTGTCATGGCTTTACACTGTGTAGTCTCAGGCAAGTCACACCAATGTTTCTCAAATAACTTATGGAGATGATTTTTATTTTTAACCTTTTAGTAACTGCACTTAACGGTGTGATCATGAGTGAGGCAACAGTTCCGAGTCTATCAAAACTGTGGTCTTACTTTACTCAACCCCACATACTCCTCTGCATGTTTTCACCTCTTGACAAAATACAAATCAAAGAAGCCTTCCATGGTCTTTCCCCCTTTCACAAGCAGGTGATTTACATGCAGGGCAGGAGCATTTTAAGAACATGCTTTAGCACTGAGCTACACCTCCCAACATACACAGACACAAATATATATTTTTTAATTAAATTTTTATTTTTAATTATTTGTCTTGTGTGTGCATGCATGTGTGCATGTGTGTGTGTATATACATGTAAGAGAACACACCCTGGCCTCTGTGGAGGCCAGAGAAGGCATCAGATAAGCCAGAGCTGGAGTTACAGGTGGTTGTGAGCCACCTGATGCAGGTGTTGGGAACAGAACTAGGACTCTCTGGAAGGAGAAAGTATATTCTTAAAATAATGCTGAGCTGTCTTTCTAGCCACACCTATATATATTTTAAATTGTACACAATTAAGAGGCATAGTATAACATTTTTGTTTTACCTTTTGTGGTTTGCTCATGTGTGTAAGTGTACATGTATGAGCACGTATATGTAGATGCATGTGCAGACAAGAGGACTAAGTGTTTATCTCCTTTAAGACACAGTATCTCACTGGCCTGCAACTTACCAATTAAGCTAGACTGGCTGGCTCACTGGCTAACTTCATCAATCAGATCTATCATTTAAGAACATTTAAACCGGGGCTGGAGAGATGGCTCAGAGGTTGAGTATTGGCTGTTCTTTCAGAGTTCAATTCCCAGCAACCACAAGATGGCTTACAGCCACCTACAATGGGATCTGATGCCCTCTTCTGGCATAGATCACCATATACATTAAATAAACCTTAAAAAAAAAAAAAGAACATTTAAACCAGCCAGGTGATGGTGGTGCACACCTTTGATCCCAATAGAGGCAGGTGGATCTCTGTGAGTTCCAGGACAGCCTGGACTACAGTGCAAGTCCTCATGTATATAGAGCCAATATTTTACCAGTTCAGTCAGTCATCTCCCCAGTCAGAATTTATGATTATGACAATGGAAAATGTACAAAATCCATAGTTAGCAAAAATAGCCACATTAATAATGTAATAAAAAGGAAAGCTGAGTCGTGTCTCCCGCCACATACATTCCTAGATTATCAGAATAACCTAGTGACACATCAACCCTCCAAAGAGCACGTGTCTCAAGAGAGGTGAGTTCACGTACCTGCCAGGGTGTAGAGAAACTGCCCCTCGCCCTGTTCCACTTGCTTCCGTCTGTTGTCCAAAACTCTCTTGACTGTGTCCATTAGGCCAAATGTATGTGCCACATTGTTTAAAACAGCAGCATCTATTGGAAATAAAGCACAGGCCTGTAGAACCCAAACAGCCCCTGCTCTGTTGTGCTAGTTAAAGACCTGAAAGAACCAGAAGCCCAGAGTGGAGCTGTATGCTTGGGAGATGGAGGCAGTACAATCAGGAGTTCAAGGCTAGCTTAAGCTACAGAGTGAGTTCTAGGCCATGCTGACCTATACAATCACACCTCCCCTTACCCACAACAAGAAAAAAAATGAAGAAACTATAGAATTCTCTTAAACACAGTTCAATAATTGCTGTGGTGGTGCTGGTTTTGAGAAAGGATCTTCATGCCCAGGCTGGTCTCAAATTGGCCAAGAATAGCCTTGAATCCTACATTCACATCTTTAGTTCTGGGTCAACAAGTACTCACCACCATGCCTGGCAATTTTAATATTTGTTGGTTTGCTTTTTGAAACAGGGTTTTCTCTGTGTAACCACTTTGGCTATCCTGGAACTTGCTCTGTAGACCAGGCTGGCCTTGAACTCGTAGAGATCCTCCTGCCTCTGCCTCCCAGTGCTGGGGATTAAAGGCGTACACCACTGCTTGACTAGCAAGCTTTTTAGCCCAAATTTACCACATTTATTTAATTTTGATTTTAGAATATATTTGAAGATCTTCCTACAAGCGGTGGGGTGCTTGCTTAGCATGCTGGTCCAATCCCTACCATTACAAAGACAAAAAGCAAAAATACATAAAAAGGTGAAATAAATAAATCTCCCCCTGCCCCGAGACAGTGTTTCTCTGTGTAACAGCCCTGGTTGTCCTGGAACTCATTTTGTAGACCAGGCTAGCCTTGAACTCACTGAAATCTGCCTGACTCTGCCTCCCAAGTGCTGGGATTACAAGCATGTACCACCATCACCTGGGGAAATCTTTTCTTTCTTTAAAAAAGATTTATTTATTCTACCTTCATGTATGTGTGTAAGCCAGAAGAGGGCACCAAATCTTATAATAGATGGTTGTTAGCCACCATGTAGTTGCTGGGAATTGAACTTCGGACCCCTGGAAGAGTAGCCAGTGCTCTTAACCTCTGAACCATATTTACAGTCCAAAATAAATAATTAAAAAAATACACGCATAGTGGTGCATGCTTTTAATCTCAGCACTTGAAAGGCAGAGGCAGACAGATCTCTGTGAGTTTGAGGCCAGCAGGTCAACACAGCAAATTCTAGGACAGCTAAAGTTAAATAGTAAAACCCCATCTCAAAACTAACAAACAAAAAAAGAACAACAAAGACTAAACCTTGCATTTAGTTATAAATTCTGACCCATGGTTTGGAAAACAGGATGGTAAAAGCCAGATGTGGTGGCGGAAAACTCTAGCTGTATCTATTCTGGAGGCTGAAGCAGGATAATTTGATCCTAGGAGCTCAAGATCAGCCTGGGCAATATGATGAGATTCCATTTCCAAATACACAATAGGTCAGGTATGACGGCTCACCTGTAATCCTAGCATTTGGTGAGGCTGAGGTGAGATCACTGCCTTGAACTGAAGGCCAACCTGGGTTATAGATTAAAAAACCACATCTCAAAAAAAAACCACTAAATGGCTGGGTGTGGTGGCACATACCTTTTCTAGAACTCAGGAGGGAGAGACAGCAGTGAGGCTAGCCTGGTCCACAGAGTGAGTTCTAGGACAGTCAAGGCTATGCAGAGAGACCCTCTCTCAAACAACAACAGCAACAACAACAACAACAACAACAACAACAAACACACCGTACTTATCTGCACCCTCAGTCTCACCCACCGCAACAGTTATTCTGGGTTTTCCTAGAATTCTTTTTTGTTTGTTTGTTTGTTTTTCAAGACAGGATTTCTAGCTGTCTTGGAACTAAATTTGTAGACTTTGTTGACCAGGCTAGCCTCGAACTCACAGAGATCCTCTTGTCTTTGTATTCGAAGTACTGGGAATAAAGGTGTGTGCCACCCAGTCTGGTCTACAAGAGCTAGTTCCAGGACAGGCTCCAAAGTGATGGAGAAACCCTGTCTGAAAAAGCATTAAAAACAAACAAACAAACAAACAAATGTATGTGCCACCACCACCCAGGTTCCTATAGTTCTTTGTACTCACCAGATACTGTCTCTCCAAGACCTTTGTTCTTTCTGCCTGTTTCTTTCTCCTGGCTCATTATATGCCTAACTTCCAAAATGCAGGTTTCTGTTCTAAGCTCACCGCCTGGCATCAAAGGCCTTTTTTTCTACTATGAAAACAAGCACCACAGTTTTCTGCATTATCTGCTTGGGTTTCATTCCAAGCACAGATTAATTTAAACTAAGGTGGGAGTTTGTTCTGATAGAACACTTCCTTGACACATGCAAAGCCCTTTGTTTCATCTCCAGGGCTGAAAACAATAAATAAACAGAGCCAAGGAGATGGCTCAGCAGGTAAGGAAGGGGGTTTGCTGCCAACTCCAGTGATCTGAGTTTGACTCTTGGGACCTATAGGATAGAATAAAACAATTGCAAGTTGTCCTCTGGCCTCCACATATGAACTATGGCATGGATTACATGCCATGCATGCACAACAAGTAAATAAATAAATAAATAAATAAATAAATAAATAAATAAATAAATGTAAGTAAAGCTGGATTTCATGGTTCAGGCCTCTAAACACAGCACTAAGCACGGGGAAGCGGGAGGAATTCAAGGTCAACCTTGGCTATATAAAGTTTGAGGATAGCTTGGGATACATGGGACCCTGTCACAAAAAATACATATTAAAGCTGGGTATGGTGCTTTACAACTTTAATCCCAGCATTTAGGAGGCAGAAGCAGGCAGATCTCTGTGAATTCCAGGACAGCCAGAGCTGTCACACAGAGAAACCCTGTTTCAAAAAAAAAAAAAACCAAAAAACAAACAAACAAATAAATCTAAAAAAAAAACAAACTAACAAGTTTAAGAATTCAGTGAAGCTGGGCAATGGTGGCACACGCCTTTAATCCCAGCACTCGGAAGGCAGAGGCAGGCGGATCTCTGTGAGTTTGAGGCTAGCCTGGACAGTTCCAGGACAGGCTTCAAAGCTACAGAGAAACCCTGTCTCAAAAAAAAAAAAAAAATTCAGTGAGCAGGTTTTGGAGAAATGGCTCAGTGGTTAAGAGCACTGGCTGCTCTTCCAGAGGTCCTGAGTTCAATTCCCAGCAACCACATGGTGACATACAATCATCTGTAATAAGATCTGGTGCCCTTTTCTGGTGTACAGGCATACAGGCAGGCAAAAACACTGTATACGTAATAAATAAATAAATCTTTAAAAAAGAAAATTCAGTGAACAGACAGGCGGGCAGTGGTGGTGCACAACTTTAATCCCAGCACTCAGGAGAGACAGAAACAGGCAGATCTCTGTGAGTTCGAAGCCAGCATGGTCTACAGAATGAGTTCCAGGATAGGCTCCAAAGCTACAAAGAAAAACAAAACAAAACAAAACAAACAACAACAACAACAACAAGAATTCAGTGAACATACAAACTGTGAGGCCTCATCATAACCCTATTAGTATGAACAAGATATCTAGTCCACAATTGATGATTTCTTGATTGAAGATTGATGTGAGAGTTTCCAGCTCACTGTGGGCAGTGTCACCCCTGGGCTGGTGGTCCTGGGTGCTATAAAAAGGTAGGCTGAGGGGCTGGGGAGATGGCTCTGTGATTAAGAGCACTGGCTGCTCTTCCAGAGGACCTGCGTTCAATTCCCAGCAACCATAAGGTGGCTCACAGTCATTTAGTGAGATCTGGCGCCCTCTTCTGGCCTGCAGGCAGACATGCAGGCAGAACACTATACATAATAAATGAATAAATCTTTAAAAGAAAAAAAAAGCAGGTTGAGCAAACCATGGGAACAGGCCAGAAAGCAAAACCCCTCCATGGCCTCTGCTTCAGTTCTTGCCCTGACTTCCCTCGGTGATAGTGTGACCTGGAAACATACAATAAAGTCAACCCTTCCCTGACACATACCCAAGCTGCTTTTGCTATGTTGTTTTACCACAGTAATAGAAACTTTTAAAACAACATAATTGAAAAATAAAAATAAAATCTTTAAAACAATAAGATATTGCTGTGGAATAATGCTCCTATACACTGTAAAGATTTGTCCCTCATATTGGTTTAATAAAATGCTGATTGGCCAGTAGCCAGGCAGGAAGTATAGGTAGGACAACCAGACTAGGAAAAATCTGGGAAGAAGAAAGGCAGACACAGAGGAAGCAAAGATAAGGATTCTGGCAGGCAGTGGTGGCACACACCTTTAATCCCAACACTCAGGAGGGAGAGGCAGGTGGGTCTCTGTGAGTTCGAGGCCAGCCTGGTCTACAAGAGCTAGTTCCAAGATAGGCTCCAAAGCTACAGAGAAACCTTGACTCGAAAAACAAAAAAAAAAAAAAGAAAGAAAGAAAAAGAAAAAAAGGGAGAGAATGCCTTACTGAGGAAAAAGTACAGAGCCAAGTAGCTAAACATACCAACCCAAAGTTTAAAACCCAGTTAATGTCAGGTGGTGGTGGTGCACACCTTTAATTCCAGGACCTGGGAGGCAGAGGCAGGTGAATCTCTGTGAGTTTGAAGCCAGCCTGGTCTACAAAGTGAGTTCCAGAACAGCCAGGACTGTTTCACAGAGAAACCCTGTCTCGAAAAACCAATCAATCAACCAACCAACCAACCAACCAATAAATAAATGAACAAATAAAACCCAGTCAATGCTAAAGTAAAAGAAGGCTGAGGCTCTACCTCAGTAGAAGAGTGCTTGCCTAGTATGCTGGGGCCAAGTTAAACCTCCAGGACCACATAAATGAACAAAACACAGTCATGAGCCATGAAAAACAATTACTTAATTTTTACAAACTTTACTTTTCTTGGGGGCTGGGGAGATGGCTCAGTGGTTAAGAGCACTGGCTGCTCTTCCAGAGGTCCTGAGTTCAATTCCCAGCAACCACATGGTGGCTCACAACTATCTACAATAAGATCTGGTGCCCTACTGGCGTGCAGGCATACATGGAGGCAGAATGTTGTATACATAATAATTAAATAAATCTTTAAAAAAAAAACAAAAAAAAAACTTTACTTTTCTTATCTGTAAAATGAAGAGAATGGTTCCTCTGCCTTAGAGTCGTGGGGTGAACAGGAACCTGAGCACAGTTGTGAATGCTCAAAGAAAGGAAGGCTAGTACCAGGCTCAGTGCACTTACCTGTGACCTGGAAGGGAGCCTGCAGGAGCCGCTGCTGAACGCCCCTGAGAAGTTCCTCTATCTCCTTCTGAATATTACAGACGACCTCCTCCATCAACCCTACATCAGCTATTCCTTTCCAGAACATCAAAGTGTCCTCTGGCACAGGAGGGATAAGACAGAAGGTAGACATTACCAGATACCTCAGCACGTCTATAATGCTAATTTCAATTAGAAAGGATTTTATGCTAAAACATAAAAGACTAGCTGTGTCCATGAGTTGGTACCTAATTATTAGCCCCTTCAGACAGTAGGGGCTTGGGATAATTGCCCTTGACTTGTTATAATTCTGGCTATAAAAACAGACATCTTAGTTCAATAAAAATATTCAGTCAAATATTAAGTGGGCATTCAATAATTAAGATTAAGTATTACTTGATTAAATTCAATTTTAATTTTGCTTTCAATTAGCTAAGATTTAATTTTATAAATGTTAACTAATAAAGATATTAAACTAAATATTAATTAAATATATTTTCTCTAGTTCTACACTAAACCAAACAGCTGGGTGGGAGGGTCTGTAAGTTTCCCTAGGGTGAAGACTAAGTCTCTTCATGTATGTATACAGCAAATAGCAACAGAATCAAATAGGCAACAAATATTTATTAAATGAATGATCAAAAGGAGAAAGTGGAGCACTGGAGAGATGCTCAGTGGTTAAGAGCACTGGCTGCTCTTCCAAAGGACCTGGAGGGTTCAATTCCCAGCACCCACATGGCAGCTCACAACTGTCTGGATGATTGCTCAGGTTAAATGGAGCTGATTCCAGCTCTAGTTAGTATTCATGTTTATGAGGAAGCCCAGAAGTCACGAAGATGGCTGCTCTGTGCATAAACAAGGTCATAAACCCACAGGAAGGCGCGAGCTACACAAGGAATACATGAGCTACACAGGAAAGTACCTGAAATTTCTTCAGAGTCCTTTTTTATGCCCTCATCTGTGGCCATGGTGACAGCAGCAGTGAGTGCCGAGTTCCACTCCAGTCCAGCTTCTTCCATGCTCTCCTCTGAGATGGCAATCTGTGTGATGTTACCTAGCAGAGACCATTAGAAAGAAAGACAGTCAATTTTATGAAGAAATTCATAGTTATCCTCTCTCAGACTCACAGTAGAAAGACCTTGTGATTCTAACATGATGCCTCTTGTCTATGTGTCCATAGTTTAAAATACAGATCTCTAGGTAAGCCAAGATAGACACTGAGTTTTCTAAAGGAAACTTGCCTTGCTAAGAAAAAGTTTTTAAAAAATTCGCTGGGCAGTGGTGGCACACGCCTTTAATTCCAGCATTTGGGAGGCAGAGGCAGGCAGATCTCTGTGAGTTCGAGGCCAGCCTGGTCAACAAGAGCTAGTTCCAGGACAGGCCCCAAAGCTACAGAGAAATCCTGTCTTGAAAAACAAAAAACAAAAACAAAAAAATCTTCCAAGGGCAGTCTGTTTCCCAAACAGATGTTTTTGAAAGTGACTGGGGGTAGGTGTGCCTGCCAGACCACCCGCTCCAGACTTACTGAGGATGGGAAAGACCTAGAATCATTCATTTAAAGGAAATATACTAGTCATGAGTCCTACTATATATGTGTTTGGTAATAAGCATCTATATCTTTAGAATATCTGAAGCTGTCACAGCTAATGAATCAACCTGGGTTGAGAAAGCAAGAGAAATAGAGACACACACAAAAGAAAGAAAGAAAGAAAGAAGGAAGGAAGGAAGGAAGAAAAAAAGAAAAGTCAGACAGGAGACACATGAATAATAGAACAGACATGGAACTGGAAAGATGGCTCAGTGGTTAAGAGCACATGTTGCTCTTCCAGAACAAGTGTTCAGTTCCCAGGACCCATGTCAGGCAGGTCACAACTGTAACTCCAGCTCCAAGGGCATCCAACCCTACTGGCTTCCATGGGTACCCACATACATATGCATGTACCCACACAAACAGACAGACAGACACATATGCATACACAAGCACATATCCACACAATTCAAAATCTTTTAACATACTTTACCTTTCAACTGTCTCTAAAAAACTAAACAAAAACTGAGAAAAGCCAAAGTGGCTCAGACCCGTGAGAGCTCTATACGCCGGAGGACAGCGGAAACTAAAGAAACAGCACAACATGGGCAATCAAGCAAAGTTCTGACAAATAAAAAGAAAGGAAATCATTTTGGAATAGTCTTCATTTTCTAAGTAAAAGAATTAAATACATGAAAATTCTCTGTCAGATACTTTCCTGAAAGGGCCTTTAGGCTCTAAGAGATTTGGTTTTTAACTCACCTACTGATTACTCCCAGAATATGAGAGTTCACCAAAAACCAAACCAAATCCAACCCTACAAAGCCATGTGAGGTGGGTGAGGACTATATTCCAGCATTTGAGAGGCTGAGGCAGAAAGGTCGTGAGTTGGAGGCCAGCCTGGGTGCCCTCATCCCAAAGATTTCTAACAGCAGCTGAAAAGCTTTTTTTAAAAATTTTTTATGATTTATCTTTATTTTATATGCATTGGTGTGAAGGTGTCAGATACCCTTGAACTGGATTTTCAGACAGTTGTGAGCTGCCATGTGGATGTTGGGAATTGAACCCGGGTCCTCTGGAAGAGCAGTCAGAGCTCTTAACCTCTGAGCCATTTCTCCAGCCCCTGAAACGCTTTTTATGCCACTGTGATGTCTCCAGAAGCTGTGACTAATCCGTCAGAATTCATATTCATATTTTCCCTCTCCTCCTCTCCCCTAGATGATAAGAGGACAACCCAGGCCAAAATTCAAAAGCACCAAAGGTCAGCTGAACATGGTATCACAGGCCTGAAACCCAGAACTCTCAGGAGCAGATTCAGGGGCGTCCTAGGTCAGCTTGGACTACACAATCAGACTACATATCAAAACAAACAAAACAACAGCAACAACAAAAAACAGAAGGTAGGCCCTATGTTTGAGCTGGTCAACATAGCAAATTCCAGGCCAGCCTGGGCTCTCCAGGAAGACCCTGAGGGCCTGTGCACCCACCTTACCCATCTGCAAGAAATTCTAGGTTCATAAACTGGGGCTCGTGAACTTCCTAATTCAGGCTCAGCCCAGCCACTGAAGTCCGGCCTCACAACATTTGAAGCCGTTAGCCACTCTAATGTACCTTTCTAACCTTATCTGTCTCCACTCAACCTCGGCATGCCTGGAAAGTGGCAGCAAAGTGAGAGTCCCGAGTAAGCCCTATAAGTACAGGACATCTTTCTAATACTTGGTACAAGAAATAAGAATGTGCCAGGCGGTGGTGGTGTACACCTTTAATCCCAGCATTTGGGAGGCAGAGGCAGACAGAACTCAGTGAGTTCGAGGCCAGCCTGGTCTGCTAAGTGAGTTCCAGGACAGCTAGGGATGTTGCACAGAGAAACCCTGTCTCGAAAAAACAAAAAAAAAGACATAAGAATGCTGGAAATAAGGCAGATGGTAGTGGCTCATGCCTTAATCCCAACACTGAAGAGGCAGAGGCAAGTGGATCTCTCAGTTTGACGGCAGTCTGGTCTACAAAGCAAGTTCCAGGACAGCCAGGAACTGTGTCAACAGAGAAACCCTGTCTCAAAAACAAGAACAAACAAACAAACAAAGAATGCTGAAAAATAGAAGGTAGAGACAGAAGCACAGACAGTACTAATGATAATGATAATGAAAAAATAAAAGAAAAACACAGTAGGACTTGACCAATAAGAATCAGTTAAGAAGGGCTGGAGCTCTGGCGGTTAAGAGCACTGGTGGCTCTTTCAAAGGTCCTAAGTTCAATTCCCAGCACTTGGTTTACAACCATCCGTTTGAGATCTGGTGCCCTCTTCTGGCCTGCAGGCATACAAGCAGGCAGAACTCTGTACACAATAAATAAATAAACAAAAAATAAAAGAATCAATTAAGATAGACAGGCATGCTGGGCATAGTGGCACATGCCTTCAATCCCAACACTCAGGCAGCAGAAACAAAAGGATCACAGGGACACAGAGAAACAATGTCTTGGAAAAACACCCCCCAAAAAGAGAAAGAGAGCAACCAGGCATGGGTGATTTCAAGCCTGTATCCCAAGATTCTAGAACTTTAGAAGAGAACAGCCATGAATTTAAAGTCAGCCTGGGTTACACAGTGAGTTCCTAGCCAGTCTGGGCAACAGAAACCTAGTCTCAAATCAAACATGAGTTTTTTAAGAGGAAAAAGGGAATACAGGGCTTAGAGTCCCAGCCAAATTGCTGCAGTATCTTACAATACAGCACAAAAGCACATCAATGCTGACAAGAACTGGAAACCAGGAACACCAGGCACAGTGGTTTATGTTTATGATCCAAGCACTTGGGAGGCAGAAACAAGAAAATCACAGTAACTTCACGTCAAGCCTGGGCTACATGGTAAAATGGTCTCAAAAGCAAACCAAACAACAAAAGCACAAGGGAGAAAAGCGATGAGAAGGGAAGAGCTGGTGAACACAGTGGCTGCCCAGGCGGTTTCCTACCCCCTACCATCGGCCGAGGTGGGGGTCTGCACCACACTTGTCTGCTGGCCTGGCACTGGCGCCCTCGCACTGCTGATCAGAAGGTCAAACTTGGTACTCCTGCAGGTATTGGAGCAAACTTTGTCATGCTGGTAAAAATCGATCTGCCCAGAGTCCATCATTTTCCTGCAGAGAGACAAGAAGCAGTTCAGCCCACATTTCACCTACGAGAGCTATGAGGACTGAGGGCTGACGGGGACAATCTGCTGAGTTCATGGTGGAGATTAGAGGAGCCCAATATCTGAAGTCATCAAACTGTGAAAATTCTAATTGGAATTATCAAATGTTCATTGGTCCTGCCCACATTGACTACTACTTCTCTTCTGAGCTTCCTCAACAAGCCTTAGATTAACTAAGAATGTCAAGAAAGTCATTAAAACCCAAAACTGAAAGTCCCAACACTTGGGAGGCAGAGACCCTGTGCGTTCAAGATCAACCTGGTCTACACAGTCAAGTTCCAGGCTATCCTGAGCTATATAGTGAAACCCTGTAACAAAAATAAAACAATCACAAGCCCAGCAGTGGTGGTACACGCCTTTATTTCCAACACTCAGGAAGCAGAGGCAGGCAGATCTCTTGAGTTCGAGGCCAATCTGGTCTACAGAGCAAGTTCCAGAACAGCCAAGACTATACAGAGAAACCCTGTCTCTAAAAAACAAAACAAACAAAAATAATAAAATAAAATTTACAAAATTAAGTCTCCTAGAAGTGTTGTACAACACTGATGATAGGGTTGGAGAGATGACTCAGTGGTTAAGAGCACTGGTTGCTCTTCCAGAGGTCGTGAGTTTAATTCCCAGCAACCACATGGTGGCTCGTAACCATCTGTAATGAGATCTGGTGCCCTCTTCTGGTGTGTGGGCATACATGGAGGCAGAATGTTGCATACACAATAAATAAATAAATCTTAAAAAACAAAACAAAACAAAAAAACCCACTGATGATAACAAACCCTTTCTGGAAAATATTCTTGTAACAAGAGCAATGAGGCCCTACTATTACAGACCATGAGCAAAACCAGGAAGCATTTTAATTCTAGTACAACTCTATGTCACCCTGTCACTTGGCTTTCTCTAACAGATCTCTTGGCAGTCTCAGTCTTTTGTTTGTTTGTTTGGTTGGTTTGTTGAGACAGGGTTTCTCTGTAGCTTTGGGGCCTGTCCTGGAACTAGCTCTTGTAGACCAGGCTGACCTCGAACTCACAGAGATCCGCCTGCCTCTGCCTCCTGAGTGCTGGGATTAAAAGCATGCGCCACTACTGCCCGGCTGCAGTCCCAGTCCTTTAAGCATTAGTGGGGAAACTGGCGCATGCTTGAATTCCTGGGCAGATGAAACAAGAAGAAAACAGAAAGGAAAGGCAATCCTCTCAAATTCCTCACCTGTAACGAACCCAGGGCCTGGGGTCTGCAGCGAATGTGTCAGCGACTGACACATTCCACCACTGAGAAACTGTCCCGATGGAAGCAGCCCCTTGTCTGTTTGGCTTCCACACAGGGAAGAGACCAGATTGGTTATGTCATCCAGCTTGAACTTAAACTTGAGATCCTCCTGCCTCTGCCTCCATGTGCTGAAATTAAAGGTGCCACCACACCTGGCTGGACATTTTTAATTCTTGACCTTAAAATTTTTGTTTTTTTTTTTGGGGGGGGGGGCTAGAGAGGTGGCTCAGAGTAAGAGCACTGGCTGTTCTTCCAGGGGAGCTGGGTTCAAATCCCAGTACCCACATGGCAGCTCACAACCATCTGTGACACCCATGGCAAAACACCAATGCACACAAAATAAAAATAAATTTTAAAAAAGGTTTTGTGTTTTTGTTTTTATAATTCTTTGCATATGGGTGCTTTGCCTGCATGTATGTCTGTGCACTGTGCGCACACCTGGTTTCCATGAAGGTTAGAAGGGGTGTTGGATTCCTTCGGAACTAGAGTTACAGAAGACTGAGAGCTGCCATGTGGGTGCTGGGAACTGAACCCAGAACCTCTAGTAGGGCAGCCATAGCTCATCTCTCCAGTTCTAGGTTTTACATTTAAATTTTTTTCTATCAGTAGGTGAACATTCAAGGCATACTAATTAAAGTATTCAATGTGGAAAACTAAAACGGTAAACTTGTTGGAGTAAAAGTAAGGGTGGGATAAGAGCTATTCCATAGTTGACATCTGTTTCTTAGACAGTGACGGCAAAGATGACGAACATCATGCAGTGGTCGTCTTCCTTAACAGGGTATCCCAGGGCCCGTCAGTCACGGCTGTCGCACTTACTCAGCAGCTAGCTTTGTTGTCTCTACGTGAGGATGACAGGGAGGATTATTAGCTCCTCGGAGCTCCCCTGCCAAGAAAGGATCCTGTTCAACCTCCTGACATCAGCACCCTAAGTCAGGCATGCTGGTGTCAGTCTCTGTTACACGGCAAGTTCTGGGCTAGAACTAAATGAGACTCAAAAACTAAAAAGAAAGAATGAAAAACCTAATGCAAATGCTAGGCAGAGGTAACAAGTTTGAGTTAATAGTTAGAGGTCACAGGGGGTATAATTCAGTGGTAGAGTGCTTGCGTGGCATGCACAAGGCCCTGGATTCCATCCCTAGTGTCACAAAGTTAAAAACCAAAAGATTATGGACAAGTTGACGAAAGTCAAATGGTGTAGAAGGTTCTACCCTGACTAAGTGCATCACACGTGGCTGTCACCAGCACTCACCTGAGCATGATGCCACCTAGACGAATGGCTCTCTTCCAGTCCTTCAGAGTGGACTTGCCAGCCAGATGGACAAAATGCTTGGGGCTGATCAATTGATCATTGAACTAAAGGAAAAAAGAAAAATCCAAAGTGGTCCAGTGTCAATTCAGATAGGTCAACAAGGAAAGAATGAAATAATGCCACTTGCTACACACAAAAGCCCCGGACAATTTCATAAGCCATATCAGTGTCGCTCAGCCTCCCGTCCCATGGGACCAAACATTATCCTTCTCTGAGTACCTCCCCTTTCCTAGGATAAAGTTACAGCGGATGAGGATGAGAAAGAAACGTGCTGAATAGTATCTACAAATCCACCTAGACTCTGAAGCAGGGGGCTGGGCCTAGTGCTCGAGAGGCTGGTCAAGTCACTGAAGAAATCTAAGTAGTGCTAAAGATGGGTGGGCCAGGGAGATGACTCGTCTGTAAAAGTGCTATTTGTGCAAGACTACAGACTGACTTCCATCCCAGAAATCACTTAAAAAGTGGAGGCTGTGAATTGCATCTGTAGTTCCAGCACTCTTACTGCGAGATGGAAGTCAGAAGACTCCCCGGGAAGATGGAAGACTGGTTAGCCTGGAATCCGTGCGCACACATACACACACATACACACACACACACACACACACACACACACACACACGTAAGATCCTTTAGAAGGTTTATTTTTTTCATATGCATATGGGTGTTTTGCCTGCATATGTGTCTGTATCACACATAAACAATGCCCACAGAGGCCTGAAGGAGGCAACAGATTCCCCTGGAACTGGAGTTACAGACTGGTTCTGAGCAGCCATATAGGTGCTGGGAACTAAACTCAGGTCCTCTGGAAGAGCAGCCAGTCATTTTAACCACTGTACCATTTCTCCAGTCCCCTATCTCATAGAGATCCACCTGCCTCTGCCTCCAAGTGCTGTCATTAAAGGCATGCACCACCATACCTTTTGGGTTTTTTGAGACACTCCATCACCTCTTGATCTCAAACTTAAATCAATTCTACTGTCTCCAAGAGAGGGTTACAGGCATGACCTACTACTACTTATTCTTATCAACAGTTCTGAATAAGGTCTATTATGATGCATACCAGTTCAAGGCATGTCTCTGAGACAAGTTTCTTTGTGTAGCTCCAGCTGTTCTGGAACTCACTTCATAGACCAGGCAGGTCTCAAACTCAGAGAACTGCCTGATGTGGGATGCCCTTCTGTATTCTATGAATATGTTTCATTACCATTAGTTAATAAAGAAGCTGATTTGGCCGATGGCCAGGCAGAAGAGAGCCAGGTGGGAAATCCAAGTAAAGATACAGGGAAAAAGAAGGTGGAGTCTGGGAGACACCAGGAGTCACTGAAGGCATAAGATGCCAAAACATTACCAGTAAGTCATAGGTGTTCATGACAATACACAGATTAACAGAAATGGATAAATTTAAGTTGTAAGAGCTAGTTAATAATAAGCCTGAGATGATAGGTCAAACACTTTGTAACTAATATTAAACCTCGGAGTAGTTATTCGGGAACTGGAGGGTGGGAGAAAAACTCTACCTCCCAAGTGCTGGGATTAAAGGTATACACCACAATGCCCAGCAAGGCTCTGAAATTTTTTTTTAAATATTTATTTATTTATTTATTATGTATACAATATTCTGTCTGTGTGTATGCCTGCAGGCCAGAAGAGGGCACCAGACCTCATTACAGATGGTTGTGAGCCACCATGTGGTTGCTGGGAATTGAACTCAGGACCTTTGGAAGAGCAGGCAATGCTCTTAACCTCTGAGCCATCTCTCCAGCCCCAAGGCTCTGAAATTTTAATTGTTAAATAACTTGCTCAAAATCACATGGCTAGGCAGAGATAGAGAAGCGTTCTGGCCAATTATTCATTTACTTGTTGAACAAGTACTTAAGGAACACTGTTGTATAGCAGGCACCACAGCCAGTCCTTGTCACGCACAAGGTTCTGCCACCATCAGCAAGGCATGATATTATGTACTAGGTTTATTTTGGTGAATACGGATAATGTTCTGTGCTGCACAAGACTCATGTTCCAGTGGAACTAGAGCCAGGACCATTTTATTTCAAAATCCTTATGTTTCTACTGTGACAGCATAAGAGAAAAACTGTGGGGACAGGAAGATGGCCTAGAATAAAGGTGCTTGTAGGAAGTGGCAAGCCCGTAGGGAGTGAAGTCGCGAGGGAATGTGCATCTTTCTTGTTGCTGTTTCAAGACAGGGTTTCTCCGTGTAGTCCTGGCTATCCTGGAACTCCCTCTGTAGACCAGGCTGCTCTTGCCTCTGCCTCTCAAGTCCTGAGATTAAAGGTACTCACCACTTTAGCTGGCTGGGGATGTGTATTTGACATGGGCACAGCCATGCCAAGAAAGCTCAGTCCTCAGACCATGGCACAGTTGGCAAAACCTTTACCCATATGGCCCAGGATCACAAGTCCAAGTGCTTATAAATAATTGATCAGTGTGAGCACAGATGAGCAAGTGCAGCTTCCTCCTCCTGGATGTGCACACCTACAGAGACCTACTACCAAGAGTCCCTAACCTTGCTCTCTGCCGTATGTAAAATATGCTAAGGTTCCAGGTAGCAGTTAAAGAACTACACCAGACCCCAGCTTTACTGTACATGTGGCTATCCTTTCTTCACTCCCTCGAAGCCCCCAGGGTTCTAACCCAAGTCATGTAGGAGAGGCAGCTGCCAAGCCTGATAAGCAGAGTTCAATCACAGATGAATCTGCATGGTGAAAGGAGAGAACAGACTGCTGCAAGCTCCCTTTGCCGTTGGCATGGGTGTCACGCAAAATAACTAAATAAATGTTAAAAAAAAAATAAAGATGAGCTGAGCAGTGGTAGCACACGCCTTTAATCCCAGCACTCAGAAGGTAGAGGCAGGAGGATCTCTGTGAGTTAGAGGCCAGCCTGGTCTACAAGAGCTAGTTCCCGGACAGGCTCCAAAACCACAGAGAAACCCTGTCTCTAAAAACCAAAAAGCAAACAAACAAACAAAAAAACAAAATTAAAGATGAAAACAACCACAAAACAAAAAGCTGCTGACTGAAGCTGGAAGGACAGCTCAGAAGCGGGGCACCTGCCCCCATGTTCCAGACCCTGGATCAAAGCTGATCTGGTGAGAGAGAGAGACAAGGGCTGAGGCAAAACCTCCAGGCCGAGACAGTTACCTTGACACACTTCACATTTATTCCTGGACACACAAACTTCTTCCAGAGGAGGATGGCTTTACTCTCTCCACAGGTTATAGGGTAAGCAATTTCCATATCCTCGTTTGCTTCTATGCTGCTTGCATCTGAAAATGGAAAAAGCAACCCACTATTTACTGAATACTTCTTTCCTAAACTTAAATTCCAAATGTACAGTTTTCAGGTCCCGCTTAAGCCATATTTTTATTTGTTTGTTTGTTTGTTTAGGATATGATCTCATGTAGCTCAGGCTGGCCTTAAACTCAGTATACAGTAATGATGACCTCAGATTACTGATTCTTGCACTCTACCAACTGAGCTATATTCCCATCACTAACAGGGCACTCTTTAAAATAATAATAATAAGGGGCTGGAGAGATGGCTCAGAGGTTAAGAGCACTGACTGCTCTTCCAGAGGTCCTGAGTTCAATTACCAGCAACCACATGGTGGCTCACAGCCATCTATAATGAGATCTGGTGCCCTCTTCTGGCATGCAAGCATACATGGAAGGAATGTTGTATACATAATAAATAAATAAATCTTTAAAAAAATAATAATAATAATAAATAAAGATAAAAAATTTTAAAAATTCTTATTTTATGTGTACGGGCGTTTTACCTGCATGCAAGTCTGCACACCAATTGTTTGCCTGATGCCTGGAGTAGAGAGCACTGGGTCCCTTGCAACTGGAGTCGTTCATGATGGTTGTGGGCTCTCCAGTGAGTGCTGGGACTCTAAGCCAGGTTCTTATAGCAAGCAAATACTCTTAACTACTTAGTGATCTCTCCAGCCCCAGGGATGGATGTTTGACTTAATAGCTGTGTCTTACCAAGCTACCGATGTGTTAAGACACTAATGGCATATTCTCTCTTTCTTTTTGTTAATTTAAAAATATTATTTATTCTTATTGGTGAGGGCATGCTCTGGAGATCAGAGGACAGCTCTGTAGGGTGTTTCCTTTTTCTTCTTCCACCTTTATGTAGGTTCTGGGGACTGAAATGCTGCAGGCTTGCCTGCTTACATAGCAAGTAATTTCATTTGCTAAACCATGTTCCCCTCACAGTCTTTTGTTTTGCAGGTTTTCAAGGATCAAACCCAGGACATTATATGTGCCAGTTAAGTGTTGCACCACTGAGTATATGGCCAGCCCTACCATCAGTCTTCACATGTGCTAATACAATATTGCTTTTGCTTGCTTTTTGAAACAGTTTCAAACTGCCATGAACTTTTTATGTAGTCAAGGATGGCCTTGAACTCCTGATCTTCCTTTTAAAATGCATTTTATGTGCATTGGTATTTTGCCTGCAGGTATGTCTGTGTGAGGGTGTCAGATTTTCTAGGACTGGAATTACAGACAGAGCTGTCATTGAACCTGGGTCCTAAAAAAGAGCAGCCAGTGCTCTTAACCACTGAACCATCTCTCCAGCCCCCGAACTCCTGATCTTGCTGCCACTATTTCCAAAGTGCCAGGATTACAGGCACAAGACAACACACCCAGTGTTTTAGTTCTAACTATCTTGTGAGATGGTAATTACTTCCTATGTTTTACATATAAATATATGGGCTTCAAAAGATAAGTGAGAGCCAGGGAGTAGTGACACACGCCTTTAATCCCAGTATTCATTCGGGAGGGAAAAAAAAGTCAGCCCTGTCTATAAAGTGAGTTCCAGGGCAGGCTCTGAAACCCTGTCTCAAAAAACCAAACAAGGGCTGGAGAGATGGCTCAGTGGTTAAGAGCATTGCCTGCTCCTCCAAAGGTCCTGAGTTCAATTCCCAGCAACCACATGGTGGCTCACAACCATCTGTAATGAGGTCTGGTGCCCTCTTCTGGTCTGCAGGCATATACACAGACAGAATATTGTATAATAAATAAATAAATATTAAAAAAAACAAAAACAAACAAACAAAACAAAAGTTCCCAAGAACACAGAGTGAAAAGATTAGCTTAGTTTCTAAATTTTCGTTCACTGACAGTTTCCCAGTCAATACATTACCTCTTTAGTCTTCACCTACAAGGGTCACCTAATGACAGGTATCAATCTAAAAGCTCCTGTTTCTTTGGGTTTATTTTTTTAAGGCATGGTCTTGCAATAGAGCCCAACCTCAAACATAATCTTCCTGTCTCAGCCCCCCAACTGTTGGGATTACAGGCATGCCTGCTTCACCATGCACAGTGAGGAGGGGGTGGAGGTGGGGAGGATGGATGACTAAGGATTCTAAGTCTTTGCACAGGTCAGGCAAGCCTTTTACCACTGAGTTTACGCCTCTAATCTTCTGGCCTTGGACTTGCTCTGGAGTGCATCTAGGCCCCACACCTGTGATTCTTTTGCTTCAGCTTCCCAAGTAGCTAGATTTACAGATTCACATCATGGGTTTTTGTTTTATTTTAATTTTAACCCCCCCAAATGGTGCTCAGAGATCCCACATTGAGACTCAAGCTAAACATTTTATCCCACCTCTCTTGGTACGATTTTTATAGATAAAAACTTTTTTTTTGGTTACTGAAACATATTGATAGTAAGTGATCAAGTGACAGGTCTACCATTTTTTTGATTGGTTGTTTTTGTTGTTGTTGTTGTTGTTTTGAGACAGTTTTTCTATGTAGTGCTGGCTATACAGGAACCTGGAACTCAGAGAATGGTCAGCCTCTGTCTCTTGTGTGCTGGGATTAAAGGTGTGCCACCATGCCTGGTAAATCGGCCATCTTAACAAAAAGTATCAGTAGGCACACTGCAGTGGTAGGGACAGAAAATAAGCCACAAAAAGGCAAAAATCATATGCTCAGTAGTGGAGCAACAGCGTTGCCTGAACAAGATTCCAAGTTCCATTCCCAGAAATGTAAAAACAAAAACATACAGAACCTCTCAATCAGCATGCTGAAGTCAAAGCACTGGATAGAATGGCAGAAAGACTTACCAATTCCTTCTTCAATTTTGTGTATCGTGTGCGCTTCAACGGCTACAACTGCTGCGTTGTTCTCCGACCCAGCATCATAAATCCTGTTGTAAAAGAGTCCATCGGTAAACAAACTACATAAATCGTGAAAAAATTAATATTCACAGCACAGAGTTTAGACACTTGTTTGTCATCTACCCCAAAAGGAGTAAAGTAAACGTATTCTATCACACCACCTTAGGACTTTGACAAGTTTTCCACTGTACTTAAACTCCAAAAGGTCCAGAAAAGCTTAATGCCAGGAAAATGAAACAATTCACCTCACCCCAAGTACATTAATATTTGCTATGTGTACACCCTTTGCTACTGTATCACACTGACTTTTTCCTTGCTAATTTAATACAAAACACTTTTAATAATTTATTTATTTGTATTTTCTGTACATTGGTGTTTTGCTTGCATGTATATTTGTATGAGGGTGTTGGATCCCCTGTAACAGGAGTTACAGACAGTTGTGAGCTGGGACTTGAACCTGGGTCCTCTTAAAGAGCGGCCACTGCTCTTAACGCTGACCCATCTCTCTCTTTTTATTTATTTTTTTTATTTTTTATTTTTTGTTTTTTGAGACAGGGTTTTCTCTGTGTATCTCTGGATGTCCCGGAACTCACTCTGTATACCAGGCTGGCCTCAAACTCACAGGAATCTGAAAAGTTTTTATACCCTGATAAATCTCTCCGCCAATGCAATAACCCAAATCATACCAAATTAAACCGAATTAGAAAAAACCCAGGTTTAATGGCTACCAGTGCTCCCAGGGTGTGTGTTGGGGGCGGGGAAGACCGGAAAACCACGTGTTCAATCTCTGGGGAATAATTTAAATACCCCATGGGAGTGGTCTTGAGCCTCTCTGGGGAGGGGGTCACAGTTTGGTGGGGATTATTCTGAGGTGGAGTCTGGACTGAGGCAACTCCCAGAGAAAGGGGCTTAGAATGGAATTTTCCACCAAACAATCCAAACTCCTTGGATACACGGATGGCTGGGGTGAAGCCCCAACCCAAACAAGATCCACCTCCCTCTGCTTCCCTGAGTGCTGAGATTAAAGACATGCACCACCACCGTCTGGCTTTAATAACTTTAAGGATTTATGTTACTTATGTGTATAAAACCATGTGATTGCTTGTATATATACACACACACACACACTTGTGTATAAGTGCATGTGTGTATGTGCCTAGAAGAACAGGATGGTGGTGGCACACACCTTTAATTCTGACACTTGGAAGGCAGAATCAGGCAGATCTCAGTGAGTTAGAGGCCAGCCTGGTCTACAGAACAAGTTCCAGGACAGCCAGGAATCTCAGCTATACAGAGAAACCCTGTCTTGAACAAACAAACAAACAAACCAACAATGTAGTTCCTCATGTTGCTCATGTTGTGGTGACCCCAAACATAAAATTATTTTCATTGCTACTTACTTCATAATCTATTTTTGCTACTGTTATGAATTGTAATTGTAACATCTGTGTTTTCTGATGCTCTTGGGTGACTCTTATGAAAGGGTCATTCAACTCTGAAAGGGGTCATGACCCCACAGGTTGAGAACCACTGCTTTAAATGCTCAAGAGTGTTGCTTCAAGCACAAGATAGGCCTTTTCACTGGGCAGTGGTGGCACACCTTTAATCCCAGCACTGGGGAGACAGAGACAGGCAGATCTCTGTGAGTTCGAGGCCAGCCTGGTCTACAGAACAAGTTCTAGGACAGACTCCAAAGCTACAGAAAAACCCTGTCTTAAGAAACCAAAAAAAAAAAAAAAAAAGGTCTTTTCATAAAATTTACTTGACAAAAAGTAGAACCAGCAGACAGCACAAGACAAGAAGCAATACAATGACTCAGAAACGATGACCCTTGCTGAAATCTAGACATTTTAGCATTGTTCCATTTTTTTTGGTGTTTTAAGCCTTTCAGGGCATGAGAACTAAATTATCTGCATAAACCAAGTACACAGAAACAAAAACGTGCAACAGCCCCAGTGAAGCAGCAGTCTTGAAAGCGCCACCAAGCAGGAGGCTGTGCAATCTGCCTGAGGCCACAGCACTGTGGACACACCCAACGTCATCCGCCCTTAGAAGCTAACCAGAGCTGGGCCTATTTGGGACTTTGACAGGGTAGGCTGGGTAAAACAGATCTTCCTCAATGTCTCTACAGACATACTCAGATAACCTAATGTGTTACCCTCCTGTATCATTCATTTCTGTAATTAGCCTAACGGGTTAATTCTCACACCTTCTTACTTGAAAGCCAATCTGTACATTCCTCTTTGCACAAACGCTGATCCACCTCCATGGTGACTGCTCTAGTGCCGACCTCCCTGTGAATTTCACGCCACAATGCCACTAACTGCTAAGTAAACAAGCCATGCTGGGCAGTGATGGAATGGCACACACCTTTTATCCTAGCACTAGGGAGGCAGGGACAGGTGGATCTCTGTAAGTTAGAGGCCAGCATGGTCTACAAGAGCTAGTTCCAGGACAGGCTCTAAAGCTACACAGAAACCCTGTCTCGAAAAACAAAACAAAACAAAACAAAAAAATAACAACAAAAAGTCAACTCTTGGGGCCGGAGAAATGGCTCAGAGGTTAAGAGCACTGGCTGTTTTTCCAAGAGGTTCTGAGTTCAATTCCCAGCAACCACATGGTGGCTCACAACCATCTGTAATGATAGATCTCATTATCTATCTTCTGAACTGAAGACATACGTGCTCTCTTCTGAACTGAAGACATACGTGCAGACAGAACATTGTATACATAATAAATAAATAAATAAATCTATCTTTAAAAAAAAAAGTCAACTCTTGATCCCCATACTTCCATCCTTGTCACTGGTGTCACCTGGCACACAGGATGGGACCTGGTGGCAATTGCTTTTATTCCTTTCCCTGTCTTGACTGTTTCTTTTAGACTAGTGGAGATGAAACCTAGACCCTTCCGCATGCTAGCTAGGCACTCCGTGACAAAGCCACATACCCAGCCCCTTGGTTGGATTTCTCCTTTTCCCCTCAGTTCCTACACAGCTGTCAAATCTTGTCAGACAGACCTCTTTAACACCAGTGGTCCTCTCTGCCTCTAATGTCATGGCTACCACCTTGACTCAGATGTCATTATGTCCAGCCTAGAACAGCTTGCCCACCCCATCTCATTAATCCTGTAACTTCTACCAGAGTAATCATGTGATTCTCTTCTTTAAAACATTTAAAATTTGTGTTTCTTTGTTCTGGCAGTTCTAGGGACTGAACTCAGAATCCAGGGGTCTATGCCTGAGATATATCTATATCTAGAAAGGTAGATACATGATATATAGATAGATAGACAGACAGACAGATAGAGAAGATATACAGGCTGTCCTTGAACTCAGATCTGCCTACCTTAGCTGGAAGTAAAGGTGTGCACCACTACCACCCCACTTATTTTTTACTTTTTATTTTGAGACAAGGTCATAGTAAATTGCTTAGGTTGGTCTGGAATCTGCCTCAGATTCCAGTATTGAAATTGCAGGCATTGCCATCATTCCCAGCTTTAGTTGTTAGGTTTTTTGTTTTGTTTTTTTTTAATTTTTTGCACTGGGTTAGAGATAAAACTCAGACCCTCATGCTCCTAGGCAGCACTGAATCAACTGAGATACAACTCCACCCCCACTCTCCACCTGTCTTTTTGCTTGTTTATTTTTTGTTTTGTTTTCTTGAAACAAGGTTTCTCTGTATAGCTTTGGAACCTGTCTTGGAACTCACTTTTTGGGCCAGGATGGCCTTGAACTCTCCCGGGTCCACCAGCTTCTGCCCAGGAGAGCTGGGATCAAAGGCAAGTCTTAATCAACAATTCACAGATAACCCAGACACCAGTCACAATTACTGACACTGATAAAGGACAGGGTTAAACAGGAGTGGAAGTGGTCCTTCCCCTTCTCTAGACAGGGAAACCCTGTCTCGAAAAACAAAATAAACAAATAAATAAATATTATATAGCACGAATTCTAATCTTTTTTTTTTTTTTGGTTTTTTTGTGATAGCTTTTCGCCTTGAACTCACAGAGATCTGCCTGTCTCTGTCTCCTGAACATTGGGATTAAAGGCGTGCACCACCACATCCCAGCTCTAATTATTCTTAATAAAAACCCAGAGTCAGGTATTAGGAGGTAAAAGCTGAGAAATAAGAGAAGCAGAGCAGCCAGCCACTAGAGACCTTTTACCTCTACCAATGCTCAGACCAAAGGGGCGATCCTGTCCTCAGACTGCATCCTCTAACTTCATCTCCAGACTGCACAGCTTTGGTCTCCTCCTGCCTTACTTCCCTCTCTCCGCCCAGCCATATTCCTTCCTGTCTCCACCTCTTTAGAGCTGGAATTAAAGGTGTGTGACTCCTAAGTACTGGGACTAAAGGTGTGAGCCAATACCGCCTGGTTTTTAAGTGTCATAGCTCTGCACTCTGATATTCAGGCAACTTTAATTTGTTATCACTGCAATGTTATAAAAGAGACTTATTTGAAAAATTAGAAAGCATTTAGCAATGGCTTTATTTTATTTGAGATGCTAGAGATGCAACTCAGGGCCTTCTGCATACAAAGAAATTTTGGGTGACACTTCCACCACTGGGTCACCACTGGGTGACATTTCCAGAAGATTCTTGTAGTTACTGGGTCTTTTCACTGGACTTTTGTTTGTTTTGAGATTGTGTTTCATGTAGTTCAGGCTGGTCTCAAATTCACTATATACGTATAAAAGTATCTAAACCAAAACAAACCAAACAAAACTAACAAAAAAAAAGCAGGGCTGTGAGTTCAAGATCAGCCTGGTGTACAAAATGAGTTCCAGGACAGTGTCTCTGTGCACACATGGGAAGACTGTTCCAATCTGCTTTTACTGCCTAATGCATTCCTGCAAACATGTACATAATGAATATCTGAAAAAGTAAAATATGAATAAGTTTAGTGCTCCATGCCTGAAATTCCAACACTTGGGAAGCTGAGACAGGAGGGTTTGTAGTTGAAGGTCTTCATGATGATGTTAAAAAGACTGTATTTTGGCCAGACAGTAGTGTCTTTAATCCCAGCACTCAGGAGGCAGAGGCAGGTGGATCTCAAATTCAAGGCCAACCTGGTCTACAGAGTGAGTCCCAGGACAGTGAGGGCTACACAGAGAAACCCTGTCTCAAAAAAAAAAAACAAAAAGAACACTGTGATCTTCCAAAGGACCTACCCACATCCAGTGACTCACAACTTCCTTTAACTCCAGCTTCAGATCTGACCCCCTCTTTTGGTCCCCATGTGCACCTGCACTCATGTGCACATTCCCTTGCAAAAGTACACTCAAAATTTTAAAAATTAATAAAAGATTAGACAAACAGAAAGTTGAAGGCAGTCTTGCATACTCCAATACCAGCACTGGAGAGGGAGAGGCAGAGGGTAGGGAACACAAGGTAAATCTCTGCAGCCCAGCGAGACTGTTTCAAAAGAAACAGACAAAAATGTATTAAACCAGCCTTGGTCCTCAAACCAAAATTCTCTTTTTCTTTCTTTTTCTTGTTCCAGGTACACCTCAGCTTTTCTTTGTTTTCATGATTTTTGTGTGTGTGCGTATGTGTGTGTGTGTGTTTGTGTAAGATTTTAGACAATTCTGAAGCCATTTCTGTAATTCCAAACCCTCTCAGCCTCTGTGCCTCAGTGCTTCCCCTCCTCCCCTGGGAACCAAGGACCTAACAGCTACACATGCACGTACTCAGTTCCTGAACAATTACCCACATACGTATGTTTTGACTCAGTCTCCTGGGAAACGGGGTCAAAATGACCTCTTACCTCATCTGATCTGACAATAGTTCTCCAGTCAATTATTGGTATTAGCCCTTTTCGAATAAGCTAATCATAAAAGGTCAAGGAACAACCCCTCTTGTTTCTATGGGGCCTTCTCCTTTAAAAGTAGACTGTACCAGCTAGTCGGGGTCTCTCGGCTTCCCGAATGCTGGGGGACCCTGTCATGACAGAATTAATAAAATCCTCATGCTTTTGCATCGGCTGTGGTATATGAGGTGGTCTCTGGGGGCGACTCCTTCTCAGTTTGGACATTAGAGTCCAACATTTGGAGACAGGGTTTCTCTGTATAACAGCCCTGGGTGTTCTGGAACACAATCTGTAGACCAGTCTGGCCTCGAACTCACAGAGATCCTCCTGTCTCTGCCTCCCACCACCGCCCGGCACAAGTCAATCTTTTTTAAAAGTCTTTTTTAAAGACAAATAGTAGTGGTGTGCTGCTGAGACTTGAACTCAGGACCTCTGGAAGAGCAATCAGTGCTTTCAAACACTGAGCCATCTGTCTAGCCTCTTGTTTTGTTTTTAAAGACAGGATTTCTCTCCACAGCCCAGGCTATCCTGGAACTCACTCTGCAGACCAGGCTGCTCTGGAATCAGAGATCCACCTGCCTCTGCCTCCCAAGTGCTGAGAATAAAGGTGTAAAGGCACCACTGCCTGACCTAAGTTTTTATTTTATTTTGTATATATTTTAAAAGAAAGATTGCCCTTTAAAGTCAGGAATGGCAGCACACGAGAAGCACTGAGAAGGCTGAGGGAGAAGAATAAACTCAAGTCCAACCTGGGCTATATAACAAGACCTTGTTTTAAAAAGGAAAGAAAACCAGATGGACACACTTTTTTCCCCCACCCAAAACAGAGTTTCTCTGTGTATCCCTGGCTGTCCTAAAACTCACTCTGTGGACCAGGCTGCCCTGGAACCCAAGAGATCGGCCTGCCTCTGCCTCCCAAGTGCTGGAATTAAAGACACAGAGACGCGACACCACTGCCCAGTTTGAAAGAAAAACTTAAATTTTATCTTTTAGGGCTAACCTACAGCATAGCTCAGTGGTAGATGACCTGTGCATGAGAGAGGCCCCAGCTCTGATTCTGGACACTGCGGAAGCATTTTAGTCAACATTCCTTTCTAGTTGATTGTGAACTCTGAACTTACAGGCCACTCAACCCTGCCCAGTCTTCACAACGTAAGGTTCCATACTTACATGCACTTTTATTTTACAGCTAGACCTCAAGCTTCGTGCTGGTGAGGACCTTGTGTTTTATTTCTTCTAATGCTGCTGTAATGCATCATCATGGTAGTGGAGAATAGATACTTGGTACAGACTAAGCTTGAGCGTTTGCCGATCCATGCAAGTTTTAGAGTTTATGGTAGAAATGGTTTTGGAGGTGCCTTGCTTTGTCTCTCAGTCAACACTGCATTTGAGAAATATGCACATGGGCCCTTGGCTAAACAATGTGGACAGAGAAGATGAAGGAGCCATGGAACTCACACCCAGAGAGCTCCCACTGTAAAGACAGAGAGGGACACTAGGAAACCGCTGCTGTAGTAAGTAGTGAATGGCAGCTTGACATGGCTGTGCACATCTGTAATCCTGGTAATTGGGAAGAAAAGGCAGGAAGATCAGGTATTCAAGGCTACCCTTGCAACATAGTAAGTTTGAGGCAAGCCTGGGCTACATGAGACTGTCTCGAAAATTACAAAAATAAAAATGAGTAAATAAAACAAAAAGCCCTAAGATGACGGAGGGATCTTATCACCAGCTCTGACTGATGCTGAGTGTTCATGGCGTACTACAAATCTGCACAGCTCTTACTTCCCATTCTTTATTCTCTCGATAATACATTTTCAGAATGTCCAAACCTCTCTCCACTTACCCTTGCTGCACAGGCTGTAACTGCAAGATCACTTGGGTTTTAGTGTCTTCAGGGTTCTCCCCTTCATTTCCTTCAGTGGGTACCACAACCACATCTCCCACTGGGACACTCACTTCCGCATTAGCCATCTTTCACATGAAGTCAGCTAGCTGAGGCTGCTGTGAGAAACAAGAAGCATGAGTAACTTATCTTGAAAGGCACAACTGCAGGAAGGGAGTGCCGAGACAACAAACAGCTCTGAGCACCCTGGACTCATCATCCTGAGAGGGAGCTGACAGGAGCTGGCACAGGCTCTTAGCATGCTTCGTGGTCCATGTGACTCACCCAGTCGTTAGCCAGAGCCAACTCTCACAGCTCTCAGGCCTTGGGATTGCAGCACTGGGATTACATACAGCACTGAAATTAAGAGCACTAAGGTTTTGTTGTTTGGGGTCTTCTTTGTTTTGTTTTTGAGACATAGTCTCACTATGAAATGCTGTCTGACCTGGAACTCAGTATGTATACCAGACTGGCCTCAAACTCAAAGATGAGCCTGCCTCTGTCTCTTGCTTCTGGGGTCAAAGGCCTTTGTTGTTATACTTTTGGTTTTTCAAGACAGGATTTCTCTGTGTAACAGCCCTGGCTGTCCTGGAACTCCCTCTGTAGACCTGCTCCCTCTGTAGCCTGCTGAGTGCTGGGATTAAAGGCATGCGCCACCCCTCCCCCACTCCTGGCTTGTTTTATTTTTGAGAAGGGAATATCAATAAATAGTTCAGGCTGGCTTCAACTTGCTGATCCTCCACCCCTGCCTCCCAACTGCTGGCATTACAAGCATGCACCACACCTGGCTTGTTTTTTCTGTAGACTGATTTACAATATAGACTGGTTGCATCCCAAAGAACAGGCCCTAGAAAGTAGGAATCGTACCTATTTTAGGTGCAAGTAGCAGTTACATATCAACTATGTATTACATACAATGCTCTAGTCTTTATAAATATTCATATCTGAGTTCAGCTGCATAGCTGTTAATAAATGCTGAATTCACTGTACAATCTCTAAGACCCTTCTTTCCTTCCTTCCTTCCTTCCTCCACCCCTTTCTTTCCAGGTTTTTTTTTTTTTGGTTTGGGTTTTTTGTTGTTGTTGTTTTGTAGTCCTGCCTGTCCTGGAACGTACTGGGCTCAAACTCAGAGATCCTACTGCTGGGATTAAAGACATGGACCATCACCAAGAGGCCAAGAACTTTTGTTTTTTCTGATGCCCAGCCTAGTCTCAAACTCAAAGCAATCCTTCTGCCTCAGCTTCAGTGAGTTGAAATTATAGGGTGTGAGTCACCAAGTCTGGCTCTAAGAACTTTATGTTCTTGTTTTATTTTTAGAGATGGAGTCTCAAATGGCTGACTTGGAACCTGCTCTGGAGCTCAGAATGACCCTGAACTTCTGATCTTTCTGGTTCTACCAGGAATAATGGGACTAAGGTGTATACCTTAGTGTATACCCACAAGGGTCCCAGGAACATCTCAGCTCTTCAGAGTGAATGGAGATGACCTTGTCTGACAGCTCCTTACAGAGCTACTGAGGAAACCATAACCAAGTGCCATGTGCTCCTTCAATTTAAAATACTAACCCAATCTTTTTTAATTATTGTTATTGTTGTTTGTATGCATATGCACATGCCAAGGCATACACGTAGACATCAGTGGGAGGACAACTTCCAGGAGTCAGCTCTCTCCTTCCACCATGGGATTCGGGTAACAACATCAGATCATCAGGCATGCGTGGCAAGCACTTTTACCGATTTTGCTATCTTGCTGTCCCCACTATCCCACTCCTTATGAAAACACAGAGGGTCTCAGGACAGCCTGCACCTGTTAGTCTTTAGAGTTCAGGAAAATTGATTTTTTTTTAAAGATTTATTTATTATGTATATAGTGTTCTGTCTGAAGAGGAAGCCAGATCTCTTTACAGATGGTTGTGAATCACCATGTGGTTGCTGGGAATTGAACTCAGGACCTCTGGAAGAGCAGGCAGTGCTCTTAACCACTTAGCCATCTCTCCAGCCCCCCAAAATTGATTTTTTTCAGCGCTAGGGATCCAACTCAAAGCCTGTGTATGGTGGTAAGCGCTCTAACACGTGAGCTTACCCGGAGCTGTGTGTGCAATCCTTTACACTATCCAGTTGAAAAGAAGGAGCCAGGAGCCATGGCTCACACAATAACCCAACACTTGAAAGGCTGAAGCAGGGAATTATAGGGCATTTGAATTCAGCTGGAGCCACATAAACTAAAGGCCAGCCTGTCTTAAAGAAAAAAAAGTCACTTGCCAGGTGGTAGTGGCATATGCCTCTAAACCCAGCACTCAGGAGGCAGAGGCAGGAGAATCTCTGTTGAGTTCAAGGCCAGCCTGGTCTACAGAGTTCCAGAACAGGCTCCAAAGCTACACAGAGAAACCCTGTCTCAAAAAAAAACAAAACAAAACAAAAAGTCACTATAGAGTGTACAAGAAAAAACACAGAATTTACTAAATGAATATAGGTAAACATGTGAAGGCAAACAGGAGACAGCCATGTTGACTGTAGATGCACACTGGAATGTGTAGCTGGCAGCCTGAGTCTCAAGTCACTCCTCAGCTCTGCCAGCCTTGAAAATAGACATACGTAATGTGGTGCCCAGAGTGGACCTCACTGGTCACGGCATACTCCAGTTTTATCTACACCTCTACTCTCCGACCGTGTCAGTCACTCACGGTACTCTTAACACATACTAGCATGCGCCAGGGCGCTAAGGTTTTCTACTCTCGATATAAGTTCTAAGCATCTTTGTCCCTAATGTTCTGTTCACTACTCCAGGAAGCATCACCTCACTTTTCTTTTTCTTTTTAAAATTTATTTATTAATTATGTATACATTATTCTGGCATGTACACCTGCAGGCCAGAAGAGGGCACCAGATCTCATTACAGATGGTTGTGAGCCACCATGTGGTTGCTGGGAATTGAACTCAGGACCTCTGGAAGAGCAGCCAGTGCTCTTAACCACTGAGCCATCTCTCCAGCCTCATCATCAAACTTTCTTTCCAGAATTTCCCCCCAAATGTGGTCTGTCACTCCCCCTCCTGGTTTTAGACACTGTTCTTCACTGCAGTTGCCCATGCAGACCTTGACAGCCACAACTATTGTTCCTTCTTGCTTATCTTGTTCTGCAGGGGTCCATCGTCATGTGACCAAGTGTTTCACAACTGAACTATAATCCACAGCTCTGAGTTCCTTTCTTGGTTTTTTGAAACAGGGTCTCTCTGTGTAGCCCTGCTGTCCTGTAATTCAATCTGTAAAACAGAATTTAAGAGATTCCCCCTGCCTCTGACTCCCAAGTAATGCAAATAAAGGCATGCACAACACTCAGATTGTTCTTGGTTTCTCAAGACAGTCTTGTCATGTAGCTCAGGCTAGCCTCAAATTTTGGCCTCTGACTACCAGGGGTATGCCATCAGTCTCAGTGCTTAGGCACTGTTTATCTAAGCATCTCTGTGCCCCCGTCACTCTCCTCAGCTTTGACACTGGTAGATAGGTTTATTCCGTCACTTTTGCATGTATATATGACCTAATCAAATTTCTTCCTATCTGGCTTTTAATCCCATTTAATTTTTTAATGAATTCTATGTCCCTGTATTTATCAGGCTCTACTACATTAAACTGAACCATATTTTCTCAAACCCACTCCAAGATTTCCTATTTCTCTAAGTGATGTTATCCTCCGCTCATTTTCAAAACGAGGGAACTCAGGAGTTATTTTTGCCTCCTCCTTCTAAACCCAATCAGCCACAACCTTATCCAGTCTACAGTGTGTGTGCTCCTCCCATACTCCATCTGTGCTGTCAACACTATATCTGGGCTGCCACACTGTTACCTGGGTTTTCCCGGCTCCTTTACCATAGCCTAACCTTTGGTCTTGGATTCCTAAAATTCATTCCCACATAGCAACCAAAGTGATCCTATTAAAGGCCATGGGCCACTTTCCCACTTAAAAATGTTTTAATGTATCCCTGCTGCTGTGAAATAAAGTGTGAGCTCCTTAATATGGCCTAGAAAAGCTTCCAAATCAGGCCCCTCCCCACAGCTGGCACACTGGAGCTGTCACTGTTCTCCAGTTCTTAAACGTGCAGCATTCCCGGACCGAGCCTTTGAATTTGCTTTCTGTCCCCAGGATTCTTTTCCTTCCCTTGGGCTAGACTCTGAAGTATCACTTCCTTGGAAAGGTCTTCCAGTGAATCCCATTACTAGGTTGGAGCTTATGCTCCTTTCCCATCATGCATTTTTTGCATGGAGGGGGGTGCTGAGGATTAAGGTGAAGGCTCTTCTGCTTATATAAGTGAAGGCTGTTTTGTTCCCACAGGTATGGTTCTGCTGTGTTGACCAGGCTGGCCTCTTAAATCGTGGGTCAAAAGGATCTCCTGCCACAGCCTCCACAGTGGTTGGAATTATAGGTTACTAATTTTGGGGAGTTGGGGTGGCCTTGAAAAATCACTATGTCTAGCTGGGCAGTGGTGGTGCACGCCTTTAATCCCAGCAGAGGCAGAGGCAGGTGGATATCTGTGAGCTTGAGGCCAGTTTGCTCTATAAGAGCTAGTTCCAGGACAGGCTCCAAAGCTACATAGAGAAAATCCTGTCTCAAAAAAACCTAAATAGGCCTGGGGGGATGGCTCAGCCGTTAAAGGCTAGGCTCACAACCAAAAATATAAGAGTTTGGTTCCCAGCACCCATGGCTGTCCCTCCAGGAATAAATAGTGATAATAATAATAAAATAAATAAATAAACCTAAATAAACAAACCAAATCTTTTTTTTTTTTGTCTTGGTTTTTTGAGACAGAGTCTCACTATGTAGCTCTAGCAAGTCTGAAACTCACTAGATCAAGTGGTGCAAACTAAAGTAAATCACTCCCATTCCCCCACATCTCCCCACACATGGGTGAGGCCACATTGTGGGAGAGGTCCTGCGTAGACCAAGCTGGCTTCAAACTCAGAGATCCACCTGCCTCTGCCTCCTTAGTGCTAGGACTAAATGCATGTACCGTCACACAGGCCTAAGAAGGTAAATCTTGGGGGAAAAAATTAATCAAACAAACAAAAAACATACTTTTAGTAGCAGAGAAGAGAGTCCACACCAACATAGTGATTCGTAGTTTTTTAGTAAATGAAGTTTAGGTTCAATATCTCTCATTACCTCAAGTTATTACATTCCTAGTGAATAACCCCAAACCAACAGCACACTACCACTACAGGGTTAACTGCAAGGTCATCTCTGTAAGCTGTGTAAACAGAAAGCCTTTCCTTGTTTATAACAGCACAGACTCCTGAGACAAGGTGAGGAAGCTAATCCCACGGGTGTTTCACAGAAGAGGCCTTGCAATCACTATCCCTCATGAGATCTAAGTGT